ACGTGCAGAACCCTCAGCAAGCTTTCAACATGCACAATTCCATAACCTCTTCAACCTTCCCACCATTGCATGAGGGTCAACGCGTTGTATCGCTGGGGAAATACCTCCTGTAGTAGCGAACAAACGCCACCTGTTCAGCATAGTGTTGTTCATATGAAACTCTTAATTTAGTGGTCGGGTTTGTCCTAGTTGTGGTGACTCTACGATGCAGCGTAAATATCATGAGTAGACTTGTAGGCTAGACCATCTTCTAGCTGTCGTCGTCGACACCGTCAACTGACACGTTTGAGAACCATGGAGCCTCGTAAAAGCTCGGGGTAGCGTGGGCGTATGACGCATATTTGCTGTACCGCGTGAAATCGTCATCAGGAGGAATCGCCACACCCTTGTGCACCTCAATAACAGTCTCCCACGCAACCTTGGCATGCGAAGGGTGCTCTTGTTGGCGTTAGAATGCCTTGATTGCTACTTCAAGGCATTTGAAATCCCCTAGTGCAGCAGCGTTGTAAGACCGCCACAACGTGTTTTGAAGATCCGTGAAATCCATCTTCGCGTTTGACCTAGTGACAACACGGGTTCCAGTCTCCAAAGCCCGTGCAATGGAATGGAAGGCTGATGAGGTAGATAAGTTTGCAATATTCTGTATTATTTCGAAAATAAAAAAATGCAATTGTACATTATCACATATATACCAAAAAGTCGAGCGAGCACTGTACAAGGTGGGATCAGCTCAGACCCACGCGGTGAACAGTTAGTCCAAACCGAATATCTGTGTTGTTTTCACCCCGCAAAAAAAAATCTCCTCGTATGCTTCCGCCACGATGGCGTGATGATGCAGCGCAAGAGCCAAACGAAAGAACACAAGCGAGCAAGAACAGTTATCGCTCGCAAGATTTGTATGAAGCGCCACTGGCCCAGAAAACAGGTTTGAAATCTCCTTCTGGAGTCCGCTTTGTAACATCGAGAGAACGTCTTCGAAGTAGGCGCGTGCACTATCGCCAGGTCGGGCTGTTCAGTCGGCATGTTTGCAAAAAGCATGCATACTACCAAAACTACATACAGAACTGTAGGAGAACTATGTCGCTCTCTCAAGTCGGTCAGCAGGTAGGTGAGCCAGTGTAACTCCTGTGCAGCCATGGCCTCTCCGTAGATCTCAGCCTCACAACTGGAACTGACAACAGAAGACGAGCGGGTAGATTGCCAAGAAACAAAACCGGAGCCAAGGCTGAAAGTTTAACCCTGTAACGATCGCTGCATAGCCAAGTGGTCAACCTAAGACGCGTCTGCGCCAGTGAGAAAAACTCGACTCCACCCTCCAAGCATGAGCCCCATACCCGATGTACTGCACAAGTAGCGCAACACCCTCTTAGCGCCCTCCCAGTGCTCTGGTCGGTGTCTTCCAGTCGCAACATAGTGAGCCATGATGCTAAGAGGGTAAGCAAGGTCAGGTCGAGTGCAGGTCATCAGGTACATAAGGCAGCCTTGAAGCTCTAGATATGGGCCACTCGGCTCTACGGACTCATCCGAAGGTGGAGCTGAGAGCGAGTGACCGGAAGGCAGAAGAGTGGACTGTGTCAAGGAGTACTGGAAGCAGAAGCACTGAAGGACCTGGTGCACCATGTGTGACTGAGTCAAGGTGATGGTGCGCCGTGCTCTGTCCTGGATGATCTGCAAGCCAAGATAGCTGCGCAGCTCGCCCAGGTCTGTGCACGTGTATCTCTTCTGTAGCTCCGACTTCACTGGAGCCAGTGCCTCAGTGTCAGCAATGGAAAAAACCAAGTGGTTGGTATACACGAGGATGTAGAACGGCGGCAGCGAAGTGTCAATGCGCACAAACAGTGACGCGTCAGTAGTCAAAGGAGCAAACCCAAGAGCCGCAAGCGTCGTCCTTTGTGTGTCGTGCCACTCGCGTGGCGCCTGGTGGAGACCGTAAACTGGCCGCCGGAGGCTTCACTGGGTACATGCATGAAATGACCCAGTAAAGTTAGGTGGGCGGCGCAGCCAGATCTCCTCGTGCAAGCTGCCCTGTATGAAAGTTGTTTTGAAGTCAAGAGAGTGAAGCTTGTAGTTACGCGGAACGGCGACGTGCAGCAGCTGCTGAAGAATGGTCATCTTTGGGGTAGGGGAGAAGGTCTGGAAGAAGTCAACTCCCTGTCGCTGACTAAAGTCTCTAGCAATGTAACGAGCCTTGAAGACGGGCGGAGAACCGGCGGCCGCTTCACCCTGAAAATCCACAGGAGGGGAAAATGAGACGACGTAAGTGCCCGTGGACTTCTAGGATGTCATCTCTGCGTCCATGGCTGTCTGCCACTGAGAGGAGTAGGGCTTGTAATCGCCTCTACGTAAGAGCGCGAGGTCGGGATGTCTGGTGCATCCGTGTCTCCCTTAGGTGCAAGTAGCATGGACATGAGATGAGGTACAGCAGCTGCAAGACACTCAAAATCGTACTGCCTGTCCTCAAAGACGTCCGTGCTAAGAGCACTCTCACCCCCGACGAACGGAGGACAGACACATTCAGACTTAGCAACAGGACTAGCGGCGTAGTCGAGACGACACCCAGCAGCAAAGTCGACAAGCTCAGCAACTGCGGATGCAGCAGCAGACGCAGCAGTGGACTCAATCGAAGGGTCGGTGAAAACAGTGGCTAGGAGACGAATGGTAGTAGGGCTAACAGCACGAACTACGTCAGACTCAGGGTCTTGACCGTCAAGAAGACAAGACGTAGGGAGAGACAGCAGGGGAACTCGAAGTGGAACAGAGGAAGGACGAAGTGTCATACTGTGAGTGCCGCGAAGAGGAGGAGGAAGCGGACACGGAACACGACTACTTGTGCGACCAGCGCAAACAGGCGAGGCTCGGCGAGACGCAGGCTCACGACGCTCTGTAAGAGAGTCTGTCTACTCAGTGTAATGAGAAGGAGCACGCAGTGGGGAGGCTGGTTGTAACTGTGGCTGCAAATGGTCTGGCAATGGACACAATACAGGCGGAGTAAGGTCAGTAGAAGACGGGAGACCAAGAACCTGGCGAAGCAGTGGAACGAAGTACGGTCGCGGCTGCATAGCGCCTCAAGCACCTGTACTGACAGTTCCAGCACCCCCAGATTCAGAACCTCCAGCTCCTTGGTCTCCAACTCTAGGACCTGCAGCACCATTAGCTCTAGCAACTCCCGCACCTCCAGCACCTCCAGTACCTCCAGCAGTAGCAGCGCCACCAGCTCCGGCAGCACCAGTTGCTCCAGCAAGAGCACCTCCAGGTCCAGCCGCTCCAGCACCTCCAGCACCTCCAGTACCTCCAGAAGCAGCACCACCACTAGCTCCGGCAGCTCCAGTACCTCCAGTACGAGCACCTCCAGGATGAGCACCTCCAGCACCTCCTGCACCACTACCTCCAGGGGCAGTGCTTCCAGCGGCAGGCCCCCCAACTCCAGCAGCGCCACTCAGAAGGGTGTGCCGAGCAAACCACTCGCGCAGCTGCAGTGGAGAGAGAGGCTCCCGCCGTGACGAGGCACCCGTAGGACCTCCAATGAACACATTACATATAGGCTAAGCACCCCCAGACTTGTTATGTGATGCTATCATTTGCATTCACGTCTGTCTGCCTCCCATCACATGTTCGTGCGTTGCATGCGTGGTGTGAGCGTGTGCAAGAATTTGTATTTTATGTGGTTTAGTTTTTCTGAGTGTGTGTGAATTTTATTTGGCTTGAGAAGATATCTGAAGTGACTCCACCGCTCAAGAGCTTTTCGCCGAGCCAAGTATCGCTTCAATCGGAGCACGAACAAGAAAGTTACGAACATTTGAAGTCCGTATGCTTTTGATATTTGGTTGTGGTGACTATGGGAAGTTGTGGGGTTGACTCCATAAGGGGTACAGACTTTTGGGGGTTGAGAAATTCGTCCCCATCACTGTCGATGCTGCCAAGTGGTTGGAAGGAGCCAAACCAGGTTGGCAGGTGTGGCCAATTTGGGCAAGGTGGATAACATGGGTTGGAAAGTGACAAAAGTAAAAGTGGGGTTCCTATAGGGGAGAAATTTGGTGTGCTTATGGGGTTTCCTTGGTTGGGGACTCCTTGGGGACCGTCCCTCTCGTCCTCCTCTTCCCTCCCACCTGGTTAATTGCTACTCTAACTTTATTTTGTAAAATTGTGAGACTCTTGTGATTGAGTAAATTCTTTATGGCAGCATACCCCCTTGTGCGCCGAAATCGATAAGTCAAGATTTACTTCACCTCTTAATAAGATTCAAATTGGAATTGTAGCCACAGACTAGGGCTACAACATATCTGAGTTTAGTGAAGTTTGACCGTGAACATTTTGTCAACGGCATTTTTTGTGAGCGCGACTATTCTGTCCAGAAATTGAGACCAACAATTTTGTGATATTTCGGCTCCTAATCTTCTTAGACTCCGTCCTTAGTCTCTTAAAAGTGGTATCAAAGCTAATTAAGGAGTTTGTGGAGGGTCTACGGAAGTGTGAAGGCCCTCCTAGACCCACCATGGTCTGTGGGCGTGCCCAAGTGGAGTTTTGGAGGTTGGATGTGACTTTCGTTAAGGGGAAACTCTGCTGAAATTCCGTTGGCGCCGACACTTGTGAAGATTGTGTGGATCTACGTTGTGACCAGCAAAGGGGGGAGCTAAAACCTGTGATTGGGAGCAGAGGAGATGAGTCAAGGGAGTGGAGAAGCAGCTGAGAAGAGGAGTGAGCAGCCACCATCCAAGATTGAGGCGTTGGATGGCTCCAACTACGAGGAATGGAGCGAGCGGATGAGGAGCCTCTTCAAGCGCTACAAGCTGCTGAAACTTGCGATGGGAGAAGAGAAGATGCCCTAGGAAGGAGATGCTCAGGATCGGTGGATTGAGAAGAGCGCAGTGCTGTACGGCCTAATTCTACAGTCGGTCAACAACGACATGTTTCAGCACATCAAGGATTTGGTGGAGCTCGATGACTCGAAACCAAAGGCGTGGAAGCTGCTACGCGACGTGGTTCAGCCCAACACGCAACCAATGATGATTGTATTGGAGAAGGAGCTGGCTGCCCTCTCCATGCGGCCGAGAGACAATGTGAAGCCGGTGCTTGACAAGGTCAAGGACACCTATGCGAGGATGGCAACGGCAGGCAGCAAGGTGTCGGAGATGCAGCAGTGCACCAAGATCATCTCGGTGCTCGACAACTCGTAGGACAATCTCATTCCCACCCTCAACGTTTAGCAGGACAAGTGGACGCCTGAGTGGCTACGGCAGCAGATCCTGCAGGAGGACTTCCGCAAGCGCCACACGGGAGGTGGTGCTGCCAACAAAACTGTTGAGGGGTATGGAGCTGCAGGAGGCAGCAGAGGAAGAGGGGGAGGGAGAGGCCGAGGCCGTGGGAGAGGCTTTGGCAGAGGAAGAGGTCGAGGTGATTACAATGAGGGGCATGGGAGCTCTGGAGGCAGGGGGAGCACCCAAATGGAGGGTGCGTGCTGGTACTGCAAGAAGGCTGGACACCCATGGTTCAAGTGTTTCAGCCGGCCTGAGGGATGGGCGCCCCCAGGCATGAAGCCGCCAAGTGGTGAACGCCCACGAGGTGGCGCTGTGCGAGGTTCACGTGCACATGGTGATGGTGCACAAGGCAAAGCCGGCCCTGGAACGTTCCTCATAGTTGAGGATGTGCAAGGGAGTGGGGTTGATGTGGGTTCAGTTGGGAAGGTTGTGATGCACCCCCTCACTCACTGGGTGATCGATTCAGGTTGCACGAGTAACATGACTCCACAGGCAGATTTGCTTGATGAGGTGAAGCCCCCTGGGAAGATCAAGTTTGTGGCTGCCGCTTCAGGTGCTTTGCTCCCTATGATTGGTGTTGGGAATGCCAAGGTAATGGGAGCCAATGGGGGGCTTGTGGGGCTGGGGAATGTGCTGTTGGTTGAAGGTTTGTCCGCTAACCTCCTCTCTGTGCACCGACTGCAGAAAAGCAAGGCCAAAGTGACCTTCGGCCCAACCAGCTGCCGTGCAAAGCTTGGGAAGTTGCTGCTGTGGGACTTGGAGGAGAAGAGCAGCTGCATCAAGGACCTATGGCAGCTGCCTATCATTCCTTGGAATGGAAAACCACCAGCAACGGCAGCGGCAGCTTCAACGGCTAAAGCAACAGCGGGAGGAGAGGAGACTGCACCAACTGGTGTGGCCCTGGATGCAGTCAAGAAGGTGCAGTAGTCAGAGTAGCCACATGGTGAGGTGCTTGCTGGTGTGGATGCAATCGCTGCATGGGCAAAGGCTTCATCTGGGAATGGTGATGCCAATTGGGAGACGTGGCACGAGAGGCTGTGTCACATCAACATTCCTATGTTGCAGAAGTTGGTGAAGGATGGGAGCTTGAAAGGGTTGGATGTGAAAGGGGCAGGAAAGGAGATTGGGAGCTGCCCTACATTGAAACCAAGTTCATGAATTTTCCCTTCAGCAGCAGCACGGGACCAGTGAAGGCTCCACTTGCACTTGTGCACATGGACGTGGTGGGCCCCACGAGGGCCCCTTCTCTCTCGAGCAGCCGCTACTTCTTGACCATTGTGGACGACCACAAGTGTGCGGTGTGGTTCTACCCTCTGAAGACTAAGGGGGAGGTGGCAGCGGCTGTTCTTAAGGAGTGGATGCCGAGAGCTCAAAGGGAGAGCGGACACAAGGTGAAGGTGATTCGCACTGACAACGGGGGAGAATTCATTGGCGCTGATTTTGAGGTGGTGCTAAAGAAGAAGGGGATCCAGCATCAGCTCACAATGCCCTACAACCATCAGCAGAACGGCGTGGCTTAGCGGTTCAACCGGGCCCTGCAGGAAGGTGCTCGCACTCTCCTTGGGCGTGCAGGGCTGCCGGATCCGTTTTGGGTGACTGCACTGCGGCAGGTCCCCCTTGTGAAGAACAGGTTGCTGGCGGCTATGGGGAACAAGCAGTGGGTCCCCTACACCAAGTGGTATGGGAGTGCACTTGCAGTCAACATGCTGAGAGCGTACGGGTGCATGGTGGTGTTTCATGTGCCGAAGGAGAAGAGGGGAAAACTGGAAGCTTCTGGGAGATGGGGAGTGCACTTGGGGCTTGCTAAGGATCACAAGGGCTGGCTGATTTGGGACTTGACCAGCCAGCAGCTGACTGTGTCGAGGGATGTGAAGTTCCTCGAGTCCTTAGACTACAAGGAGTGGAAGCAACAGCAGGAGAAGCTTCCTACTACACCGCTGATCATTGAGGCTGATGAGGTGCAGTGGCCTTCGAGGCAAGTGCAGGTCACTGTGTCAGAGGAGGAGATTTCTGGGGTGACTGAGAATGGGGGAGAACCTGAGGTGGAGGAGCAGCAGCAGTAGCAGCAAGGTGCTCCACAAGGTGCCGCACGTTCTGCTGACCGTCCTAGGAGGGATGTGCGCCCTCCTAACAGGCTGACCTATCACAGCTTTAGCAAGCCAAAGGTGGTACCGGCTGGGAGTGTGGCTGAGCAGTATGATGAGGATGAGATAGCACACTGCTACTGGGCAGCCGCCCCTGAGCCCAAGACGCTAGCCGAGGCGATGAGTGGTCCCGATGCTGAAAAGTGGAAGCAGAGTGTGAAGGAAGAGTATGACTCTCTGCTGGAGAACGAGACGTGGGAGCTGTGTGAGCTGCCACCTGGGAAGAAGACCATTTCTTCCAAGTTGATCTTCAGGCATAAGTACGGACCTGAAGGGGCGCTGACCCACTACAAGTCAAGGCTTGTGGCTAAGGGGTTTCAGCAGACAAAGGGGAAGGACTTCGACGAGATTTTTGCTCCTGTGGGGAAAGGCACAACACTGCACGTGTTATTGGCAATGGCTGCAAACCGTGGATGGCGGGTGAAGCAGATGGACATTACCACCGCCTTCCTCAACGGGATCATTCTGGAGGAGCTGTACATGTTACAGCCTGAGGGATTGGATGATGGGAGCGGCAGGGTGTGCAGGCTGAAGAAGGCCATCTATGGCCTGAAGGAGGCTCCTCGCGCATGGTACCACAAGCTGGAGGAGACACTGCTGGGTGGGGGGTTCAAGAAGAGTGAGTGCGACCATAGCTTGTTCCTGCTGCAAGAGAAGGAGCAATTCCTCATGCTCCTGGTGTATTTGGACAACATCCTGCTTTTCTCTGACTCGTTTGCAATGATTGAGCGCGTGGAGGAGATGCTGGAGATGCAGTTCAAGTGTTCCAAGATGGGAGATGTGAAGTATTACCTTGGGATGCATGTGGAGACGGACCTTGACAAGGGAGTGTTGAGGTTGCACCAAAGGAAGTACTGTGAGGGGATGGCCGAGAAGTATGGGCTGCAAGATGGAGGAAAGCCAGCAACCCCACTTCCTTTGGGGTTCACTGTGGAGCCCTCTGCTAATGAGGAGGTGGTGGGTGAGAGTGATAGGAAGCTGTTTCATTCCATGGTTGGGGCGCTCAACTATGCGGCTAACCAAACGCGGCCTGACATTGTCTTTGCAACATCTGGGCTTGCTAGTGTGGTCTCACGCCCCAGTCATGAGCAGTTAGAAGCGGCCAAGAGGTTGGTCCGCTATGTGAGTGCAACGGCATCAGTGGGTTTGGTGTACAGTGCTGTGAGGCAGAGGCTGCAGAGGGGTGCAGCTGATTTGAGCAAGGGGGAGATGCTCTTGACCTGCTACACTGACGCTAGCTTCAACTTTGTGAAGGCTGTTGGCACCAGCATTGGAGGCTACGTGTGCCTATTTGGAGGTGGAGCAGTGAGCTGGCGCAGTAAGAAGCAGAATGAGGTGGGGCAGTCCTCGTGTGAGACAGAGCACATGGCCCTGCATTATGGGGCAAAAGAGGTGGTGTGGTTGAGGCGTTTGTTGGAGGAGATTGGAGTTGGTCAGAGGGAGCCGACTATCATGTTCTGTGACAATGAGTCGGCAGTGAAGTTAGCTAAGAATGCTTGTCTTCATGGGCTGACCAAACACATCAGGCCTAAGTGGCACTGGGTGAGGAGGCTTTTAGACAAGGAGGTGCAACTAGAGATTGTGAAGACCCATCAGCAGGCGGCTGACATTTTCACCAAGCGCCTGGCTGAATCTGAACATTGGAAGGGTATGAAGCTTGTTGGGATGAGTGTGCATTGAGGGTGCATGCTTGAGCTGTGGCATGTGGGATGATGGTAGGCAGTCAGAAGGGGAGTTTGTTATTTGATGCTATCATTTGCATTCACGTCTGTCTGCCTCCCATCACATGTTCGTGCGTTGCATACGTGGTGTGAGCGTGTGCAAGAATTTGTGTTTAATGTGGTTTATTTTTTCTGAAAGTGTGTGAATTTTATTTGGCTTGACAGATATCTGAAGTGACTCCGCTGCTTGAGAGCTTTCCGTCAAGCCAAGTATCGCTTTAATCGGAGCACAAACAAGAAAGTTACGAACATTTGAAGTTTGTATGCTTTTGATATTTGGTTGTGGTGACTATGGGAAGTTGTGGGGTTGACTCCATAAGGGGTACAGACTTTTGGGGGTTGGGAAATTCGTCCCCATCACTGTAGATGCTGCCAAGTGGTTGGGAGGAGCCAAACCAGGTTGGCAAGTGTGGCCAATTTGGGTAAGGTGGATGGCATGGGTTGGAAAATGACAAAAGTAAAAGTGGGGTTCCTATAGGGAAGGGATTTGGTGTGCTTATGGGGTTTCCTTGGTTGGGGACTCCTTGGGGACCTTCCCTCTCGTCCTCCTCTTCCCTCCCACCTGTTTAATTGCTACTCTAACTTCATTGTGTAAAATTGTGAGACTCTTGTGATTGATTTAATTCTCTATGGCAGCATACCCCCCTGTGCGCCGAAATTGATACGTCAAGATTTACTTCACCTCTTGATACCATTCAAATTGGAAATTGTAGCCACATACTAGGGCTACAACATATCTGAGTATGGTGAAGTTTTGATTGTGAACGTTCGTCGACGGCGTTTCTTGTGAGCATGACTATTCTGTCCAAAAATTGAGACCAGCGATTTTGTGATATTTCGGCTCCTAATCTTCATAGACTCCGTCCTTAGTCTCTAACGAGTCTCAGAACCCCCAGGCTCTGCACGCTCAAGCTTAGCACCCCCACGCTCCGTACGCTAAGGCTCAGCACCCCCAGGATCCGCACGCTCGGGCTTAGCACCCCCAGGCTCAAAACCCTCAGATTCAGCAACCCCAGGCTCAGCACCCCCAGGCTCCGCTCGCTCAGGCTCAACACCCCCAGACGCAGCACCTCTAGCAGTACCCCCACCAGCAGCACCAGCGTCCTTTTTTTGCACACATAATGCAAAAAACAAAATGCACACGTTTGTAGGAAATCGTAGCGGTCGAAGTGACAACTTGCGTATGAACACACAAAATCGAACCACAAAATGAAAGACTCCCTGGTATAGTGTACATTCAACACACAAAACAAAAATGACATAAAACATGCAAACAAAATGCTTGACGGTTGTGCTACTTACTTGTTTCATGGCGACGGTCTGTGCCTCCTTGTCCTCAACCGGAACATCATTTGCGGCTATCGACTCAACGAACTCGGTTGTCAAGCATCGTCGAGTGATTGATGCCTCTGCATTCCGTTTGTTGGACCCGCGGTGTAGGCACTTGACAAGTGCGATGTGCACATGCTCGTACAAATCTGTGCAATAGCACATCAGCACAACCCCACATTGGATGTCGTCCGCCACATGCAGCATTGCATGTACCTTGGGGATATTTAACTCTGACGCCCGGTCCTCCCCAAATTGTTCCAGGGTCGGAGCAGCCATGGCAAGTCGTTAGCCTTGACTTCATCACGGGACTTCCTTAGACTTCACGAGGGCATGACGCCATCCTCGTAGTGATCGATAAATTCTCCAAAATGGGTCACTTCATCCCGACCAATGCCACAGCTACAGCTGAAGCAACGCATCCCCGCTACACTCATCTCAGACAGAGACCCCAAATTCACGAGTAAGTTCTGGAAGGAGCTCATGGGACTCTTGGGGACTAAGCTTGCAATGTCTTCAGCATACCATCCCCAGACTAACAGACAGACAAAGCGCCTCAATTAGGTGGTTGAACAGTTACTGCGCACAGCTTGCAAAGACGACGTCCGCCACTGGGACATACAGTTACCGGCCCTAGAGTTTGCTTACAACAACGCGTCACATGCAGCCACACGGAAAACCCCTTTCTTCCTGTGTTATGGATGAGAACCACTCACACCCTAGCAGCCAACCACACTGGCACATGTCCAAGCCGCACACTACTTTGTCATCACCATGCAGCAGCTATGGGAGAAGACTCAGCGACGTCTCACCATAATGCAGAACTCCCAAAAGCAGTATGCCGATCGCAAGCGACATGATCACTTAGTACAAGTCGGAGATCAGGTGCTTCTTGACACGCGCAACTTGACCTTGGCATCCAAGCTCCGGCCTCGCTTCTGTGGTCCTTTTCGCGTTGAGGCATAGGCGACACGAGTAACATTCCGCTTGCGCATACCTACTACGTCGAAGCTTCACAATGCTTTCCATGTTCAGCTACTGAAGCCCTTTAAGGACCCAAATCAACGGTTGCAGGGATTCCAGCTACCGCCACCACCACCTGTTATTGTATAGGATGAACCAGAGTACAAGGTGGAAGAGTGCTCCCTCATCAACGGTGTCATGGCAACATGCTCGAGTTCCTGAAACGCTGGAAGGGATATGACCCATCGAATGACAGTTGGGTTGCAGAAGCTGATATGGGCAATGCACGCGGTGCTCTCAAGGGTGTATCTCACGCCACCCAGCTTTGAGGGGGGGGCGTGTGAGAGTAGGACGGCTTATGCTGGCTTTGCTAGCTTGCCTAGACTTGATTATGCTATATCTAGTTTGGGTTATATTTATCATGCATAGATATGCTTGATTTCCAAGGTTAGATTCATTCCTATATTTTATTATAGTTATAGCACCAAACCAGGTTACGCATACCGAACTCAAGCCTATTCAGTTTCCACCGAATTGCTTTCTACTGAGTTCGGGAAGGTTCTGTTCGGGACGGTTCGCGACCCTCAAAACATTCGCTTAATACCTGGGTTACCTGCCTTGTGTTGAGCCTACGCTAAACGAAATAATTGTCCTTATGGATTCGATATGTAGAGTAAGTGGCGTCCAATCGTAAAATAAACATGTATTCTATTGTACAAATTGCATATAGGGCTCGTGTCATGTGTTACTAGTTTCTATAGGCGCCCTCTAGCCTGTCAAACGATGGAGCTCTAACGAGTCAGCTTTTCTCTCTCGACACCCCATACGGACAAATCCTTCCAAAATGTTTCACGCATTATTTCGAGCGCAGTTATATCTAGTTTCGTTAGGTACAGAGGCGATTACCAGCGTGGTCTACGATCTTACCTTAGTGCTATCTCCCCCGCAGCATGAAGTGCCTTAGTGTGGAGAAGCAGAAGCGCATCATGCAGCTAATTCAAGAGGGGCGTAGTTACCGCCAAATCGTTAAGGAGATGGGTGTTTCAAAGTCCGCCGTCCATGACGAGCTCCTCCGCCATGTCGGTCCGCAAACGTATGATGAGCTAGTGCCGTGACCGGCAAAACTTGGTCGGCCGCGCAAGCTACCCGAGCAAATCGCGCAGATAGTCATAAGGTCGATAGTTCAATGTGAATTGAGATCCGCCGAGGCAACCGCGGGAATGATTGCTTCTACACACGGCATCAATGTCACTGGCATCACTGTTCAAAACACTCTCACGCGACATAGAGTTAAGGCGATTGAAAAGCCGTCTAAGCCTAGACTATCTGAGAAAAACATCGACGAACGCAGGCAGTGGGCCAAGGACCATTAGCACTGGACGATGGACGATTGGAAACACGTCATTTGGAGCGATGAAACAAAGGTCTGCCGGTTTATTAGCGACGGACGAAGTTGGGCCTGGATTAGACAGGACTGCCCCATGGAGCCGCACCATGTGAAACAGACCGTCAAGCATGGCGGCGGCTCCATCATGATTTGGGGGTGCATGACATACAACGGCGCGGGTTTTATGTGCAAGATAGAGGGAAGGATGAACGAGGAGTTGTACCGTTCAATCCTGCAAGATGGGCTTCAACATACTATCGAGAATTACGAGCTCAATCCCGAGGCAGTCGTGTTCCAGCATGACAACGAACCCAAGGATACGTGCAAGCTGGTAAAAAAGTACCTTGCAGAGCAGCCGTACTCTGTTCTCCCATGGCCCGCATCTAGTCCGGACCATAACCCCATAGAAAAACTACGGGTTTACTTGAAGAAGTAGCTGGTTGCTTACCCCCGCCCACCTGTAGGCATTCTTGAGCTGTGGGACAGAATTCAAGTGGAATGGGAGAAAATCCCCGCGGCCTGGTGCAGTGAATTGATCGACATCATGCCCCGGCGTGTGCGTGCTGTGCTCAAGGCCAAGGGTCGCTGGACCAAGTACTAGATTCAGCCTGGTTTGCATGCGTGACTGTATTTGTAAGAAACCGTCCATATGACACTATTTGCCTAATTCCTTTCCTGCTGATTGCTGAGCCGAGTTAATGGCCATGTAGCATTGTGTTTCCATGTACAACCCTCCAGGTTTTAACCTTGTGGCGCCCTTTGATTAAGGCTTAAATACGGTAGCAACTAATGCAAATTTTCCATCCATATATCTTGGCATGCGGACAATCATTTCGTTAAGTGTATATGTAGCCTCGCCTTGTACCCAGGTGGATCATTCAATTGATTTTTCTTTCCGAAACCAGATCCTCACATGGTGCACCAACAGCTCAAGTACCTCCAATACCAACAGCTCCAGTACCTCCAGCTCTAGCACCTCCAGCACCGGTATTTGCAGTACCTCCAATGTCTCCAATTCTAGCACCTCCAGTACTAGCAGCTCCAGTACCTCTAGGACCAGCAGCTCCAGTATCTCTAGGACCAGCAGCTCCAGTACCTCTAAACCTACGCGGCCCCGTCACCGCCCCTAAGAAGCCCCGCTGCCGCTCCTAAGCGGCCCCGTCGCCGCCGGTAAGCGGCCCTGACGCTGCCTCTACGTGGCCCTGTTGCCGCCTCTAGCGGCCCCGTCGCCGCTCCCCTCCCTACGCGGCCCCGTCGCTGCCCCTAGCGGCCCCAACGCC